GTGCCTTTAAACTTGAAATATATATGGAGTAAATTCATCTAGTATATAAATAAACATATAATTACACGTAATTGTTTAATTACTAGGTATATGGATGTTTTTGTTTATTTTATATTTAGGTATGTTATGTCTTATTAACATATGCATCAAACATGTTTGTTTGTGATTTGGAATATAGATTATATCATTCAAGTACATCTGTATACCTTTATGCACATGTATATGATGACAAATTGTCCATATTTATACTTAAGTTAAGTTAAGATAAGTTTAATGTGGAATATGTCAATGGTACATACTTATATATTTTACATGAACAATTAACTTGAAATGTACATTGTAAAGTATCTAGAAAAGTAGACATAATTCTGTTTGTATAAATATAAACTTGTCTGAGAGCACTTATCAATTTGAAATATGCACAATTCTATTCTCTTTATTTATCAGAACTTTGTTTGTTTATTAGAATAAGTTTGTTTAATGAAGAATTGAAAGTAAATAAATGATAAAAACTGTTTAATTTGTCATAAGCAAGATGATGAAAACTAGCAAATTAAACAGTTCTATTCGGTATTACATGTATATTAATTATAACTTTGTTAAAGTGTGTCTTGATTTGTAATTCTATTAATTGATAATTGATAAATTTATTGAGAACTATATGGGATTTAAATTATAGCAATACACACTTCCTTTCAGCCATTGATTGACTAAAGATTATTTTTTGTATCATGTACAACAATAAATATAGGTATGTTTTAACTTGTAGACTTTTAAATTTCCTCACTGTATTTAGAAAGAATAGATACAACAAAAAATAACAACATACTGTTCTATTAGTGCAAATATAGTATGAATGTAAATTGTTTTTGATTTATTAAAAAAAACTTAATATGTTTTTTTTTAAATGGTGGCATGCATATCAGGTTAGAGAAATGTTAACAATATATAACTATTAGATTTTGTCACATAAACTTTATAGAGCACTGGGATATGTTTTTAATGTAATAGAATGTACTTTTAAATTAGTAAAATGTATTTGTTTGCTTGTTTTGATAGCATGAGTGTGTGACTGTTCGTAATAAAAAATATACAGAACTCATTTGTGCAATTATTTGTTTTTCCCTCTCCTACAGAACTAAATAGGCATATAACTTGTTAAAATTTTACTTTCTGATTTTTGATCTTCAAACATGGTATATTGATTTTTCATGACCAGTAGATGACCCCTATTAATTTTGGGGTCAAAGGTCAAGGTTACATTGACATTGAAGGTAAAACATTTTCTAATCAATAACTTAAGAGCTTTTAGGCTTAGAAACTTCGAACGTGGTATGATAATTGTTCATGACCAGAAGATGAGCCCTATTAATTTTTGGGTCAAGGTCACTTTGACCTTGTAGGTAAAAAATGTTTCTGATAAATAACTAAAGAACTTTTAGGCATAGGAACTTCAAACTTAGTATGATGATTGTTCATGACCAGTAGATGACCCAAATTTTTTTTGGGATCAAAGGTCAAGGTCACATTGACCTTGTAGGTAAAAACGGTTTCCGATCAATAACTTAGACCTTTTAGGCACTTCAAACTTGGTATGATGATTGTTCATGACCAGTATATGATTCCGATTGATTTTGCAGTCAAGTGGTCAAGGTCACATTGATATTATAGGTAAAATCGTTTTCTGATCAATAACTAAAGAACCAATCAGCATAGGAACTTCAAACTAGATATGATGATTGTTCATGACCCCTGTTGATTTTGACGTCAAGGGGTCAAAGGTCAAGGTCATATTTAAATTGAAGGTAAAAACGGTTTCTGATTAATAACTAAAAAACGCTTATGCCTAGAAACTGATGATTGCTCATAACTAGTTGATGACCCTTATTGATTTTGGTCAATTTTAGGTCAAAACTTTCCTGATCAGTAACCTGACAACTCATTGGCTGTTAGCCCTCAAACTTCATAGGTGCATTGTACTTTGCTAGTAGATGACTCCTATTGATTTTTGGGTCAAGGGGCCAAGGTCATATTGACTTTGTAGGTAAAAATTGTGTCCGATCAATAACTTGACGAGCCATAGGCTGTTGACCCTCAAACTTTGTAGATGCATTGGTCTTGGCAAGTAGATGACCGCTACTGATTTTGTGGTCATTGCTATAATGTCATAGTCATATTGTCCTTGTAGCTAAAAACGATTTCTGATCAATAACTTGACAAACCATGGGCCTTTGGTCCTTGAAACTTCGTCTATGGATTGTTCTTGGCGAATATATGACCCCTTTTTACTTTGGAGTCAAAGGTCAAGGTCACCTTATCCTGGTATGTCAAGACGGTTTCCTATTAATAACTGGACAACCGATTGACTCTTGACCTTCAAATTTCAGATGCATTGCTTATAGTCCACAATGGTATTTTGGGGTCAAGGGGACAGAGGTCAAGATCACATTGACCTTATAGGTAAACACGTTTACTGATCAATATTTCAACAACTCATTGGTGAAATTTGTAACTCCCGAAGACAGCGAAAAACATCATTCCTTTTTTATGTGACCTGAATTGTGTTCGGTGCGCCAAAGTAAAGCATTTTTTTTATTCTATAAGTCGCTTATAATGGGCAAAACTGTATCTAGAGTTACCATGAAGCACAGCAGAACATCCATGTATTCTCATAGAGACTCGTCTGTGAACCTTCAGTCGGAAATAGGTAGGCTTATTGATGAGTCATTGACCGAGAATACCAGCAACATTATATAACACAGCAATTTCTTTCTTTTCAAAGTTTTTTTTTATGGCAGGCAGATCATTGCAGTTGCCACTAAACGTGAAACAAATACATGTAACATAATATATAACTATAGTCTTAATTCATGTCTTTGCAACGATGTGCTTGTGTGCTTGTAAGTTAATAATTAGCTACATATCCTCTATATGTTAAATCACTAAAATTAATGACATGGTTGCTAATTAGAAAACTTATAAGTATAGGTGAAACGTTTGAATGAAGGCTCAAGACAACAGTTGCCACTAAATGTGAAACAAACAACATAATATGTAATTATACTAATGCATTTCTTTGCAACGATATGCGTGTTAGACAATAATTAGCTACATACCCTTTGTATGTTAAATCACTTAAATCAATCATATGAAACATTGCTAATTTTGAGTCTTATAGGAGTCGATTGCCTTTGACAGTTGAGGCATCAAAATTGCAGCTGCCTTTCATCCCTGCATGATACTAAGAGGCGACCAATTGGGTTCGCATGACCAGAGTATCTGCATCTCTTAGCTCCAACAGGTGAGGTTGTTTTGATCCCGGGTTTTTCTTTAAGTTTGTAACTCCTTAGGTAAGCACAAATCATCTTTTCAGTTTGGCGCCATATGACCTAAGTTGTGTCGTTGCGCCGTAAAGCCAAACAAAAACAACAACAAAATATGTTAGCACAAAGTTCAGCTCAATTTCTGATTCTATAAGTCACTTATAATAGGCAAGACTGTATCGAGAGTTACCATGAAACACAGCAGAACATCCATGCATTCTCATAGAGACTCGTCTGTGAAACTTCAGTCGGAAATAGATAGGCTTATTGATGAGTCATTGACCGAGAACACCAGCAACATTATATAACACAGCAATTTCTTTCTTCTCAAAGTTTTTTTATGGCAGGCTGATCATTGTTGTTGCCACTAAATGTGAAACAAATAACAGAATATATAATTATAGCCTTAATTTATGCCTTTGCAACGATATGCCTGTAAGACAATCATTAGCTGCATATCCGCTATTAATATATGTAAAATAACAAAATCAATGACATGAAACCTTGCTAATTAGAAAACTTATAAGTAAAGGTGAAACGTTTGAATGAAGACTCAAGACGAGCCCGGGGTTCTAAGAATACACGTCATTCTAAAACAAACAACTTTTTGAAAATAAATTTCAGCTTTACAAAGTGTTTGTCTCTCTCAGTACAAGAACATGGTATTTGAAGCTGCTTTTTCGCATGCATACATTACAGTTCTTAGAAAAAGCTAAATGTCACCAGCTAGGCTAATTCCTAACAAAACAAGAGATTTTCATGTGTACTAGCAAATACTTTTGTGTCCTTTTCTCGATATCAGAATAAAATATTTAAGATACCATTGCACTTATCTAACTAGTATTATTTACATAGACCAGACCTTCGGAAGTTTTCCATAAAATAACATGTGATAACAGCATCATATAACATAACAGCAGGTAAATTAACAGTTACTTATAAAGTATGGTGCAAATGAAAACGGTTCTGGACAGTATTTATCGCTCAACGGAAAAAGAATGCGGTGTTTAAATTCAGTGTTGTACGGTGCTCCAATATTCGAGTCAATAGGCCTTTTTTAAACATAAATATTCCCTAAAATTTACAATACAAACACACAATTTTGTATGGAACTTGAATTTATGCCTAACCATAATGTATACACGAGCTCGTAGGGTCATAGAACAAATACATTGTTGTTTTAGCACATGTTTTTGTGACAAGTACGAGTCATGTTGAGGTAGACACGATCTTTTGTAAACACTATTTCTTCGAAGTATGTAATTTTTTGTGAATTGACTTTGTGTTGTGCTAGATTAACGATAAATTGTTTCAAAAATTCGATGGAGTACTTAAACAATTGAAAAAATTTTGCAATGTCCAGCAGTAAGATATTTTGTAAGCTATTACCTGCAATTTGGTTATCCCGCCATTAATATTTTGTCCAGAAATATACGATGTCTCGGTCAGAAGTATGATATTTTGACGTTGCGCCGAAAAGTTGTGGTTAACGCCCTATCACCGTGAATTAGATGATAAAAAATGATATATACCTGCTATTATTTTCTCATAATAAAGAAAAGGCACAATATTGCCTCAAATAATCATTCGCAAAGAGTCTCTTCCAGTTGTTTATTTAACCCTTTTTTTTAAGAAAGTGTAGGAAAATATTTAGTGTTGTGAAATCTTTCGATAATTTAGTAGTGTTCGTTTACAATACGCATGCGCTGTAAAATTGGAGTAAATCAATATGGCGGAAAATAGCCCCGGATAATATTTTCTCAAAATTTGAAGAAATTGCGGTAAGTATCTTGAAAAGCTTGTAACTAATAGGTAAATTATTTTTTACTTGAATGAAATGTTAACATACCAAGTCAAAAACAATTAACTCGCTTAGGTAAATTACCAATGTTTTATCAATTGAAAACGAAAGTTGGATTTTGGGGAATTTCCGCATGAGGCTAATAATCTTAAATATCAACACACATTAATTAGACTTTTATTAAGCTCTTCCTTAAATGAATTTACAATATTGATTAATAATTGCAACAGCTAGTCCTATTGTATGGGGTATGATTATTAAATTGTGTGTGTACCGAAAACGAAAGGGAGAAGTCGCTAGCCGTACGGGCCCGTACTGCTAGCCAAAAGTTCTAGCCGTACGTGAGTCACGTACGACTAGCCAGGACACACTGTACTGGCTAGCCGTACGGCACTTTTCAAAAATATATGGAAAGCGAAAGTGCATAATTATGTTAATAATGACTTTAAGCGAGGATTTTAGTCAAGAGTGTTTGCTTTTTAGAGATTAATCGACGTCTTGGCTACAGTAAAGAATTTACTTTGTCATCTCAAGACGTCGAGAAAAAATAGCGTTTGGTTGCAGTTAAATAACATCAATTGAAATAGTTTACAAAATTTTGATAATAATCCTTTTTTGTTTCATTAAGTTTGATTTTTAAATTGAAAAAAAAAAAAAACATAGAAAATAATTGTTGTTGGGCTCTGATAATTGCGCCAATTACCGACGGTATAGAAGTTTGTCCATCGTCCATTATAAAGAAAAGTTTGCATTATTAAATTATTTTTCCTTTTCACTTTTCTTTTAATATTCTTTTTATTTATTTATTTATTCCCCCCGATCATTATTTATTCGATCCATGTGCTTAATTAACAGATTGAACAATTCATCTTTCATAAAAATCATAAGCATGAAAATTAAGGACGTTATAATATGCAACTTTGACACTTAACTAGATAGATTATACAACGCTTACTCGTATTCATTTTTGTGTGTGCAAAATTGCGGAGTATCTTTATTAAAGTGAACACACTAGGACAAATGCGGAGATTTGATTAAAATCGTTGTTTAAAGACACAAAATAACATATGCATTTTCGACTTCCATATAATTTTGAAAAGTGCCGTACGGCTAGCCAATACAGTGTGTCCAGGCTAGTCGTACGTGACTCACGTACGGCTAGAACTTTTGGCTAGCCGTACGGGCCCGTACGGCTAGCCACTTCCAAAACGAAAGTAGAAATATGGCAAATTATCTCCCCTTTGTTTATACATTTTATTGAAAAATATAAGCAAAATATAAGCAAATAATAATAAGAAAATAACGGGAACTATACCCCTCTTAATAAACGCATATAATAACAACTTGATTCAAATATTAGGCCAGCAGGGCATTTTTTGTCAAAATTGTAAAGGGGCCTGCATACATGTGAACTTTTTCTGGTGCCAAGTAGGGAGATTTGACCCTAAAAGTAGGTAGATTGAGTTTGTTGGGAGGGAGATTTTTGGAAACCGGACTTTTTGCGTACAGGAAGGTCTAAACACACAATAATTAAAAGCATTAACTACAAGTTCTTTAAAAACATTTTATTTTGCATGATAACTAATTAACAACCCAATGTTATCATTAAAAAACTTTCTTTATAAAACATACATGTTTTTTTCCCACTGCACTTGTGTTTTGATGTTTATGTAATTTACTCAACTTTCACACTTTACACAATTAGAACTGTCTTTATATGTCATGAATACATGTTTTTTGACTTCACTGTACACAAGTGTTGGCTAAATGGCATACACAGCCCATATCAGACACATCAGGTTGCTTCCCAGACAGAGTTGTGACGGCCAACCATACCTTGTGATACCTTGTGATGTTTGGGAAACTTTATTAGTCCCCTAACGGACTATCATGACACTAGCGTTGTCAGACCCATACCCAATGCATTGCTTCCATGGTATATTCTGATCCCTGAAACAGAAAAAAATATCAATTATCATACCTAATATATTATTCATGATTTCAAAATTTAAAACAGTTTAAATTGATCCTTTCAATTAGATGTAAATCATAGCCTTACAGAATGTTACATTTTGTAGACACCTGTCGTGGATGAGTGTTAATCCCCATGACAATTAACAATTTTCATTCAAAGTTACATAATTGGCATTAATTGACAGTGTATTTGTTTAGCAATAAACGGTACTTACCAGATTTTAATCTCCCTCGCATGTGCCTAATTACTGTTATCAGCAATTATAAACCCCGAAGTCAAGCTGTGAAAAACTGACAATATACAAACAAATTTGCCGATACCAAGGTCAAGGTAATTAGACTGTGTTACATTTTTAGTGAAATAGACAGACTGTGGATGGGTAAAACAAATCGATATCGGTAAACCAGTCAATAAATGTTTACACTGATCATGATTACTGAAACGCTTGTGTTGTAGAATTTTTATTGCTTTTGAAATGAAATATCGGTAGTTTGTAAACCCCGAGCGGTAGGGGGGTCTTAGTTGGCCAAAATCGGTAGTCTACCGCCCAAATCGGTAGGGTTCACATGTATGGGCCTGGACCTGTTTATTTTGTGATAAAAAGTACGATATTAGAAAAAAAAACAAAAAAAGCAACATATAACCAGGTATGACTTTACTTTTAGAACATGTAAAGAATATAACTTGTAGGGTTGGATATCGTTCTTCATGAAACGGTCCGATACCGGTACTGACGAAACGATACGGGTATTTTATCGATACTGATACTGATACTTTTACAATACCAAACCCGTTGCTGCAAGTATAAGAACTGAAGAGATATAACATGTAGTAATAGAAAATAAATATGTTACATTACTGGTCTTTCTGAAATTTCATGCTGTAAAGCAGTGTTTTTTTTTCACTTTTGGGGGAAGGGGGTCGGTGCCCATTGGAGGGGGAAAAATGCAATAGGAGGGGGATTTTTATACGGATCTAAAATATTGATGTGTCACATGATAAACTTGTTGGGATACCAGGAGTAGCTCCCCTTACCTATATGAAAAACCTTGCTTAACAGTAAGTCTTACAGGCATAAAATAAAGCATTTTTCGGCAGTTAGTTGCAAAAAAATGATATTCATTGCAGGCAAACTTGGGCTGCCATATTATAGGGGGAAATTTCAGCTTTGAGGGGGGAAAAAAACATACTTTTTTGAGGGGGGAATGGGGAGAATTTCGCCGAATATTTTGGTGAAAAAAAACACTGTAAAGTCAGGGCTCAAGCTAGGTTCAAAATTTAGGGAGAAGTCACTTCTCCCTCCAGCTGCTTTAGGGAAAAGTGGGGAGACTTTAGGGAGAAGTGAGGAGATTCATTTATCGATGTTTGTTGTATGTTATTGCAATTATGTTGACTCACTGTACATATCTTATTAAATGAATTGGATTTGTGTTACAACAGAATATTCAATTTTAATTTAAAAGTAGTTTGAAACAAGTAATAATAAGAGTGAGTATCATGTAATGCAACCATTGCATTAAATGAAGATAAAAAAGACATAGTTGATTCCTATCATGGATCATATCATGGGTGGATTAACAGTTATTCCCTTCTGATTTACTATTAAAAAGCTTGCGCCGGACATTAAATTCATATTCACTTATGTTGTAAAGAAAATGAAAGTAGATAACGAAAGAAACGGTCTTTAATTTAACTACATTTGTAATAAATACATTGTAATACGCCGTCAATTTTATCAAATTTAACTCGTCAACAAAAAAGGTTATCATAACTTTCATTTAAAATTACCGTTACAGTTATATGTCGAGCGGTCCTCTTAATTCTGACAATCATTCGATAGTGAAAATTTAATTGACGTTTGATCCGTCCATCATAAATAATTGTTACTGGTAGTTGTATGTTAGCGATTTAATGATTGGTTTAATAATGTTGCTGATTGGTTTAATAATGTCGCCTCGATTGAAACGTGAATTGCGATTGGTTTCTCGCATGTATCGGTAATCTCGCCGTGGGCGGAGTCTAATTTTTCCTCCAGTGTCTGTTAATTAGACTTTTATGACATGTTGGTAAACAAACGGATTAATGACATTTCGTGTTGATTGAGATGCATGACAGTCCCTTTTTCCGGCGGCGAGGGTAACTTAAGCAAACACACACAACATATTATTCACAGTTATTGTTGGTAATTGTCAATAATGGATCAATAAAATCGGGCGACTTCATCTTCGCTTTCATGTAGGATGTCGGCGAAGTCAGACGGAATTCGGCGACTATTTCACCCGGATCGCCCAGTAGCTCGAGCCCTGAAAGTATACTTTTCTTTTGTTGTTTTGTGTTTACTCTTTTTACAACATTTACACATGTTAATTGTAAAATACTTCTACTTTTTCATCAAAAGAACATGACATAATTTAAACACAGCAAAATATCTTATGCAGGACAGCAGTCTGCAGCTGAGAAGTCTACAAATTATTGTTTTAATCTTGATATCTCTACATCTGAAAGAATTTAAGACAGTTGGTTATCTATTATTCTCTTACAGCTATTATTATTACTGTGTAGAAATTTTATTCTGATGCTGATATTCTTTTTAAATCACATTATTGTTTACTGTAATAAATGAAATCACTGGATTGGTTGGCTTACTTTGCAATTTGGAATTACATGTAAGAAATTTCTTTAGATGTTTTTTCAAAGTCACTTATGTTTCCAGTCTCTTCTACTACAACAGCACAAACATATTTTCCACCAGTAATTAACTTAGAAATTTTGAAATACATGTATATGCACAGTCAGCACAGACTGTTTCCAAAATGACTTGTTTACATTTTCATGTTAACTCATAATATGAAAAAGGCAAAGCCTCTAAGCGAGCTCGATGTACTTTTACGTGAAATAGAATGAAATAAACTCAAATGCAGTGACGAGTGCGTGTGACGTCACACGTACTGTGTTAAATGTGGCCCCGTCCCTGTCGTGAAATGAATGAGTTTTGAAAACGTTGATAAAACTTTGTTTATTTTATTTCACTCTATAATTTTTCAAGCGAAATAAAGATTATTTAAAGTGAAATAAATGTAAAACTTAAAACGTTTGCGACATTAAAATAGCGTACTTGATTTGTTTGTTTTGCACGTGCTGTTTGGCGCTACATTGTGACGTCACATAAACAATACTTTAAACGTCTGTACAGAGTTAACGACTGAATAAAAGATATTGGTGTTCGGTTTTATTTTCTTAGTTAGACCATTTTCTTTCATTCTAGATAGTTTTCACAACAAATTTCGACAAAAATTGTTTTTATTTATCAGATTTCAAACAAAATGGCGCCTTCGATTTTCATTTTTTATACACAGCTTCCGTAATTCTGGTTGCCTGTCCAATTATGGTTCCCATAGACGTGCGCGGGTGACCAGTCTACACATCCGTTTTCAGTCAGAATTCCTCAGTTTTTACCGTTATCTTTAAATCCGAAAGGTTGCGATGTGTCCAATTTGGTACTGTGGATGAAAGTTTTCAAAACCATCACTTAGCAGGTACTCGCGTTACCGTATAGCTCGCTTTGCGAGCAGGCCCTTTGGGCCAGCTCGTCGAGCTCGCTATTAGTCCTTGTAGAAGTCATAAAGCAAATACCTATGCTTTACAAATAATAAGGATTTGGTATTTATTAATATTGAATTTACCCTTCAATTTTATACATCTTTTATTTTTCAATAGCATGCACCGTGAACATCTTGCTACAGAAAAAAAGTATTGTCCTTACCAAATTGCATAATTCCATACTGCTCAGATACGCAAAAATACTTAGCCAACATTTGCAAAAAATCCTACAAAACACTATATGAAATATGTTTCAATTGTTTAAAGTATCACAGATCTAAATGTGTAATACACACAAGTTGACCTTTGACAGGTGCATAATAGGCTATCCAAAAGAATATGCCTCCCTTTGATGTTGTTACTCTATCACCATCAAAGAGCCGCCGACATTCACACTTTTTGATTGAAGTTCTGTCAGCATTCTTTTGTTAAGAAAATGTATACATGTTTAATAATAGTTAAGTGTTACACCAAAAACAAAAGGAGGCATATTGTATTGGAATATTTCGGCCTCATTTATGTTAAAATCGTAATTCACGTGTGGATTTGTACATGTGGTAATGGATGAAAAGAACCTGGAAACATTAATATGTATTCATTATGAGTGTTTAGAGACTTAAACTGAAAAATGGATTTAATTATTTGTTTTAAAGCATTGTTTGAATAAACAATTGTCATATGTTGAATTTACATTGTCATTGCGGCAAAAGCTGTGTGCGATGTGTTTGGAAGGACTGTGTGCGATGTGCCGATGATTACTCAAGTATTTGATTTGTTTTCTCGTTGTTTCTTTGACATTTAAAACTTACAAACTTTTAGCAAAATCAGTTCAAATAATTATATTTTCCTGCCGAGTACAAAAATATTATTATCTTGAACATATAAGCGGCACATTTTATACTTTTACAAAAATATCGCCGCGTCACAAACTTCAAGTTTGCCGCGAAAGCCGTACTCGCCGCATGATAATAGTAATTCATGGTTTGTTTTACGTGTTTTTAGGCTGTTTTTATTTAAAAATCTTTATTTTTTTTGACATATTGACTATTAAATTATTTTTTTTTTACAAAAGTATCAAATCCAATACCGGTATTTTACGAAACGGTATATACCGGTAATTTACGAAGTTACTATTCGGTATAGGACCGATACTGGGAACCGGTGTCCAACCCAAATAACTTGTTACTTTTTCATTTACGGGCATAATTTAACGATTTTTTGCATGTATTATTATTTAAACTTTTTAAATTATATGACAAAAAAATATAGTACTGGACACGCGAAACCCTCACTATTCGCGTATTCGCGGCGAGTCCTCATGCTTTATAACGCAAGCGAATTCGTGGCAACTTGAGATAATTCCTGCTAAATCAACTCGGGGCGATTTTGCCGTGAACATTTGCAGTGATTCGCCGTGAATACTACATGTTACTTTGTATAATAAATGTATGTTGTACTCTATGAACTTGAAACCATTAGTATTAAAATAGACATGTACATGTATGAAAATTAATTAGTAGATCTACATGAAGTTGTAGTAAGAAAATCTTGTAATTTTTTGTAATTAAATTATTTTATTGTCGACCAATCAACTTGCATCTTGCTACTCATCACCTACTCATATCATGCACCTTTCATTTTTTACTCGTGAAATAAAAAGTAAAGAAAGTCTCAATTTAAGTGATAAAACAGTTACAATTTTCAACAATTATAATTAGTGTATTAGACGTAATAATTAGTTACACCTGTGAATCGGTAATAAATGTCGCACTGTATTGTTCTAAAAATTAAATAGAATATATGCGAAAGTAAACAACGGATTTTAATTACATCTGTATTATTATCTAAGTAACAATTGAACAATTTGTTATCGTGTGTTCTTTGATGTTACAAGTTTCAATTACATTTTGTAATTTTAATCTCGTTTTGTTATTAACTAATTTTCATCCAGCACCTGATTGCTTTGTTTT